ATCTGTCTTGTTGATTCAGGTGTATAAAGCACTTTCGTACTATGATCTGCTTCCATATTTCTAAAAATGCACTTAAGGAAAAATTTCTTTTCCCAGGAATTTAACCTTATAAAAATGAAGTAGAGTAATTAGAAAAGAAAAAACCATGCATGGTTCTAACACATGAAAATCTTTCTTGACTTCACCTAAAACAATTTCCCTTTCCATCAAATTTCTAAGCTATCTTTGCCATTGCAGAGTTGGTATTCCTTTATATTAAGTTTTGCATTGTAGTAATTTACTGAATTTCATAATTTTCCATAAATACACAGAGAACATGGGTCACCCAAACTGACAAACCCAGTTCCATTCCTTTGAGTTTACCCAAACTTTGGTCTTCTGAAAGGCACTTATTATTCCAAACAGTCCTGAGAATGTGAGTTATACTGGGGCAACTACAAATGTTATCTTTTCGAAGCTGTTGATTTCCATCTACTTGAACTGCTGGTTCACACCTCAAATCCTTGTAACATCAAGGAATGGGTGGGGCCTGGAACTCCATCCAGCTCTCCCACATGGATGGCAGCAACCCAAGTACTTGATGATTCCCACAAAGAATTAGCAGGCAGCTGGATAAGAAGCAGAGTAGGGCCCGGCGCAATGGTGCAGTGGTTAAGGTCCTCACCTTGCAAGTGCCAGAATCCCATATAGGCACCGGTTCTAATCCCGATGGCCCCACTTCCCATCCAGCTCCCTGCCTGTGGCCCGGGAAAGCAGCCGAGGACGGCCCAAAGCTTTGGGACCCTGCACCCACGTGGGAGACCCGGAAGAGGCTCCTGGCATTGGATCGGCATAGCATCGGCCCTTGCGCTCACTTGGGGAGTGAATCATCGGACAGAAGATCTTCCTCTCTGTCTCTCCTTTCTGTATATCTGCCTTTCCAATAAAAATGAAAATAAATCTTTTTTTAAAAAAAAAAAAGAAGCAGAGTAGCCAGGACTGAAACACATACCCCAACATATGGGATGCAGAGCTCCCAAGCAGTGGCTTGATTCTCTGCATTACAGCACATGTCCCATGAATGTTATCTGTGTTATAGAAATCATACTAATTTTCAAATATATTTTTATTCCAGCATTTCATTCATGGTCATTAAATTAATGAATCTTTCTATTACAAAAGTTATAATCGCTCAACAAAATTATTTAACTTTCCTTATTAATATAGCATACCAAAACAATATGTGTTAATGAGATTTTAAATAAATAACTCATAAAAATTATAAGAATTAACAACTTTGTAGTGCCAGAAGATATAACAATCTGTTTATAATGCCTGTTAGAGGGCCTGGCACTGTGGCTCAATGGCTACTCCTCCAGTTCCAAGCACCAGGATTCCACATGGTTGCCAGTTCGTGTCCCAGCTACAGATCAGCTCGCCTCTGGCCATCGCAGAGTGACCAGCAGAGGGAGGATCTTTCTGCCTCTCCTTCTCTCTGTAAATATGATTTTCCAATAAAAATAAATAAATGTTTTTAAATGAAAATATGCCTACTAGAAACATATGTAAGGTAATTTGAATGTTGCAGCATATTTTAGCCAACGAACAAAATTTACTCATATAAGTAAAATTTAAGGAATAAACAATTTATTCATAAGAAGATCACGTATTTATTCAGTTACCCATCCAGGAAACATTTATAAGTTATTTGTTCACACCAAATGTGTCTGATAGGAACTCATTTGCTGAAGTCATAAAACTAAATTAGATATAGTCTTCACCTTACAGGAACTAATAACAGAATAAAGACATGAAAGAGCATCTACATAGTAGAGGACTTTAAGGTAATCGCAAGAGCTGAGAAAGGGGTTCTTCAAGGGAACAATTTTGAATAGAGTTTGGGGTTTAAGCTCTACTTGGCAGCAGTTTTGCAAGTGTAGGAGACAATCTGGCTTTCTTCTTTAGAAAGGGATTTGGGAAAGATTATGCCAGTCTACGTTCAGTCTACTGAAGAGTTGTGGACATAAGTGGGCTAGCTGAAAATAGATCTGGAAGATGTTTGGTGGAGAAAACCAACAGGATCTGATGATAGAGTTGATGCAGGAGCAAGCAAAATGAGTCAAAATGGCATTTAGGCCTCTGACTTGGCAGAAGGATGACAAGATGAAATGAATTCTACATGATCAATTCACAAGTATTTGTTATATTCTGTCCTTGTACCCCCACAGTATTCTAGGTGTACCAATTCTATTTGCATTTAGTCATGGAGGGCCAACAATAAACACAAAATATAATTGAAGATAAGATAAATGAAATGGAGAAAACAGGGTTATTGATGGTGACTGGGAAGAAGGATATCCTAGCTGGGTTGGCAGTCATGAAAAAGTGATTCTTGAATGATAAAAAAAAGTGAGGGCTGAGAAGCTCAAGGCAAGAAGAAACAGCAACACAAGGGTAAGCTGGGAAGCTGGCCGACGACACCAAGAGACAGCAGGCAGGCCAGTGTGCACAAACGGGTGCTGGGCTGGTATACAGCAAAGAGATGGCCTACTGAAGAAACTCAGCATTTAGTCCAGGGGCAGCTGAGTTAAGCCTGAGTGTGATTTATGATCTACTTTAGATTTCTGTCTGCTCTGTGGAGAAAGGACTTAAAAGAAGGAGAGTCTTCAAGGAAGTGATGGTTTAGCCTTCCTAAGAATCACGATGCCAAGAAGCAGATTCCAGACAAACTGGATAATATGATTGGACTTGCTGATGACAGGAGACAGAGCGTCATGGGAGAGAGAAGCCTGAGGACTTTAGGTCTTGAATCACTATGTAGATGGTGATCTCATCAGGCAGAGATCAAGCAAGCTTGGTCAGACACATTCTTCAGGGTTCTATGTTTGAAAAAAGGCTGAGCTGTCTAAGAACTTGGATATGAAACATCACAAGGCCATATGGATATGATGTCCAGAGACCATGACAGACGTCTAGTTAGAGATCTACTCTGAAACCCCCTGGCTCTACATGGAACTTAAAAGCTTTCAGGCTGATTAACACTCACTAAGATAGAATACAGGAAGTGGAGAATGTGAAGAAATATTTTGATTTTGGGATTTCTAAAGGAAAAGAGCAAGTGAATCCCACAATAGACTTAAGGTTATAACAAATTATTTAGCATTTTGCAGCAAAACTTATGTGAGGGACCTTTAAAGAGTTATGGAAACTGCATATTCTAGAAAAAAAAAAGTAACCATACACTACAAAATTTCTTTGCACCAAAGTCAACATATTTAATTCCATTTCACCATAAACTTCTTGAAGTCCCCTTATAAATACTTCAATCTTTAATTATATATCTTATACTAATGGAGAGATTTGCAAGTCCAACAACAATGAGCTAATTCTAAATCTATGGAGATTATAATATACAATGCTTATTTCTTTAAGAATCGATCTTGGAAATCTACTAATCAACATTTTAAAAAATATCAAGTTCTGACTTTAGAGAGTGGCCAGGGCATAAGGGGCCAAGCCATCAATCATGGAATTAGTGTGTTCTTAAAGGGACCTGAAAAAACTGGAGTTGCCTCTTTACTAACAGGATTCCACTATGGAACCAAAAGCAGGGCCTTACCCGGCCTCAAATGGGACAACATCTTAATCTCAGGATTTCTAGCTTTCAGAATTGTGAGAAATAACTTTTGTTGTTTACTAGCAACTCACCTGGTAATATTTTTAGCTTGAATAGATTGACACTAAGCAATTAAAATCAGAAATCATGAACGACAATCTTGATGATTATTTCTCACTTGATCTTAGCCAAAAGGCTGAGAAGTGATGATGATTATTTCTCAAGTACCAAATATATCCATCTTTACTATCAAAGACGCAACCACTCATGATCAGCACTCATTAGATATTTAAATAAAGGAAACAGAGCTGTTTCCATGCAGAAACTAGATATTTGTCTTTGCATCTACTTCTTTCAGCATTGTATACTCGGCACCTTCTATGGTGTCTTCAGTACAGTCAGCGTTCAATCAATGTACAAAGTAAAATTTCTCTTCTTAAAATAAATATTCTCCAATTATAACTCATCCATCTAACAAGCATTTTTCACTGTGTAGGCAGCTGCTAGGCATTGGGGAAAGCAGTGAGAGCCAAGCAGGGCAGGCCTCTGACTTCATTCTAGCTGTATACAGCAAAACCCTTCCTCGCAGAATTTCAAAATTCATGGCCATTTCTTAAACTTTTGCATTCCACTTATGTCTTATGATTATTTAAGGGTTAAGTGCCGCTAATATATCTCTACACAGCACACACAAGTAGTTATCCTAACTACATTGCCAAGTACTCTCAAGGAACAACTGGCTTGCCGATATGAAAAAGAACAAAGATCCTGCTCATGCATAGGAATACTTTGATGGACTATACTTTAATGCTGGAAATAGTAAGGGAATACAGTACTGAATTCACTAGTCCCAAACCTTTCTCTATAGGGGCATAAATTGTGAATTAAGTCAAACACAAAAAACCTCAAAAAGCGTGTGAAAAATGCAATTAAAAATCTTTTGAAATCCATGTTTTTTTTTCATAACATGCATGTTTTATACACGTTTTGAAGACCTTTATATGCATAGATTGTGCTTTCTGGGGAGGTAGAGGAGGCAAAATAAAATGAACTTAATTTCACTGTCTACAAACTTTTTGAAGCACATACACATTTTGGAAAGTAATGAACAAAAATAGTCCCAGCACTTTAACTTAAGGACTATAATGCTCTCTTTTGTAGAAAAACTTTTCATTTCTAGCACTACGCAAAGACTGGCACTTGGGAAGTCACCCCCTGTGCTGCTCCACTGACTGGCAAATCTCCTGCTTCTCGGGGCCTACATAACTCTTCACAGCAAAAGAGAAGTTACTCTTTGTCCTCAAAGAAGTATACCCGGTCAATGAAGAATTTGAACCACTTGTTCAGTTTCTCTCCCCTCCAAAAACAAAACAAATAAAAAACCCCTTATTGTTTTTTTGCTTACCTCTAAAGGCGGATCACCTTCTGCTTCTGAAGTCTTATCTTTTTGCTCATTTGCTGTGTCTCCTACGAAGAAAAACAAAAACAAAAAACTTTACCATGCTACTGAGACCAGATTGTCTTCTTATGATTTGAACTAACATTTGCTAAAACGTACTCTAGCAGCAATCGCTGTTTACTTTGTTTAAAAAAAGTAAACCAACTAACTTTTTAAGATTGTACCTTTGGCCAAGTCTTATAAATCGTTCACAGATATATGCATTATATGTACAGACTAACCAATAAGTCTATTTCTTTGAAACAAAATCAGAGGTAAATTTGGTAATCTGACAATTGCTTACCCTGTAACATTAAGTCATTTTAGTAATGTCCACAACATAGATTACCCATCAAAAGACGAAGGCTTGTTTGACATTAAGGGTTAATTATTAATATAAAGAAAGTCACAAATCTTTTTCTCAAAGATTTATTTATTTTTGCTTAAAAGAATTACACAGAGAGTGAGCAAAACCTTCCATCAGTTGGTTCACTCCCCAAGTGACTGCTACAGCCAGAGTCACACTGATCAGAACCTGGAAGCTAGGAACTTCTGGGTCTCCCATATAGGTACAGGGTCTCAAGGACCCAAGTCACCCTCTGATGCTTTCCCAGACCATGAACAGCAGCTGGGTCTGAAGTGGAGCAGCCAGCACACAAACAAGCACCACAGGGGTTGTCAGTACCACAAGCAGAGGATTAATGTGCTAAAACTGCACTGGTCCCAGAGAGTTACCAATGTAACTGTATATAACGTATGAAAATCTTACCTGTGCTTAACTATTACATTCAAATCATTAAAGTATATTTACGAATGGCTATAAGAGTTTAATGAAAATGTTAAAAGAGTGAATGTAATTTTGTTAAATTCTAAAATCATGAAGCAAGAACAAAACTGATGATATATTGACTAACATAAGACAATGTAACACTCCCAAATGTCTGACATCAACACCTATTCCAACCTATGTTCTTTCTTCTCAACTGTGTGCAACATTATTACTGTTGGATAGAGACTAGCACAAATGCGGATCTGGTTCATTTCTCATCAACTAAACTGTCAGAATAACACTGAGCAATATCTAGTACAATTTGTATCTTAGTATTCAGTACCATCATTCTATTAAAACATAATAGTGAAACTTAATAGCCAAAATTCACAAAGGTGTGACTATCACTTTGACAGACTATTACTAGTTATCCATAATTGTGGCATAAGGCTACTACTATGAATTTTTTAAGAAGTCCACAATTTCAAAAACATAATCACATGGCTAGGAACTTGGGGTTTTCTCTCCCCGATAAATGAATCATTGTGAAGTGAAAAATTAAATCAACATTCTCTTCTGACGAACTGCTTTGATTCATTCTTTAAATGACTGTTAAAATTGACCATTCTTTGGCACATCAAGAGACTTGCTTTCAGAAAAGTTTTTGCTCTTGAAAGTTAATGATATGATCATCAAGTTCCAAGTCACAGATGGGAAACTTAATGCACAAGGAGTTTACTTTGCTCAGCTATTACAGGCACAGGGTCATAGCAACAGGAGTCACCAAGGGAATACAAGTCTCTTCACCATGAGATCTAAGTGCTTAGTAATGTGCACAAACGCTGTTTATAAGAAAATGTGCACCGCCCACTATGAAAGGTAAGGCACTCCGAGAAAGATTATCTTTTAAATTCATTATTGTTCCATTCATAACTAACTAAAAGTTCTAGGACAGTCTGTCTTCCTCTGTCATTTTCTGATTCTCAACCTTTCTGCACTGCTCCCTCCCACTTGACATCCCAGACAGGTTATCAGTCTTCCTGACATCACAGAGCACACCTGCCCGGAAGCAACTGAAAAATCACTATTTACTGAAATGTCACATCTGGCAATGACTCAGGACAATAACATTGCAAGGAGGATTGCCATCTGCAAGATTATTTCTCTGTAAGCAGAGGCACAAAATGAAAATGAAACAAGCATGTAGAAAAGAACAAGTAACAATGAAGTGAAAGTTTTGGAGTTCTTTTTCTCCCATTGAAGAACTGTTTTATTGTGGCAAAAATGCAATCATTATCTGTATTTCCATAATCTCTCTAAAATTTAGATATTTTAACAAAAAATGGAAACAGAATGTGAGAAATGGCAAACAAGGTACTTTAATTTTTAAATATCTTTAAAAATATACCTTTTATATGCTACGTAGATTTGTTTGCAAGCTAGCCATTCAAAAAGAAGGAAAACATCAACCTCTTCCCAGGATTTATGTTTCATAGAGCCCTTTGGAAGTAGTACTGTGGATACTGTCGAGCAGGTGCCGAAAATTGTCCAGTTGACAGGTGGATGAACTCTCAGGGGGCCAAGGAACTCAGTGACTCCATGAACCAAAGTCACCAAGAGGAACAGATGTCACAGTGGGAGTTGAACCTCATCTCTTGCCATCCTAGGGAGTCAGTATTCTGGTGGAATTTATGTACTCCAACTTTCCTGCAACAGAGACCTGATGTTTGAGCTCCATAAGCGGATGAGAAAACACAGGGATGGCCACAGGAGCAGCACCATGATCCCACTACAAGAGGCAAAGGTAGACTGATGGAGTCATACAACTGGGTGCGTTGGCACAAATAAGAAGAGAAATCCCCAGAGATGGGAGGGAACTCCAATGCTTAGCTAGGCCCCCTGAGCATGCCTGCTGGGGAGGGTTGATGGTGCATGAATGAGGGAACAGACACTTGGTACCCACAGAGAGAAAGCTCTATCAACATTCCCATAAGCCTCGCTCTGCTCCCCTGTCCTAGAGTGTCTCATGAGCCCTGGCACACACAGGCCTATATCTTCTCTTGAGAATGGAAGTGCTGAAGGAAATCCAGAGAGCATGTTGCTCTGTCTCCCCTGATTCTTTCTACAAGAGTCCCTTGTGCTTGGGGAAGCCTGCCGTAGCCGAATTGGATTCTGGGATTCAGATTAGCACAATCATTCACACATTAGAGTGCCTTAAAAAACATCATGGAAAATGAAATCTTAAAAACAATCATACTTTGTTGAAAAAAAAAAAGAAATCAATGCAAGGAATTCTCAAAGGGATTTAAAAATGTGTAACATGAACTACATGTGGACTTCACAATGTGATGGCACCAAAAACAATTTTTAAAATTGCCATTTCTCACACAAACTTTTTGAGACACCTTGATGCAGGTATGCCCCATTCTTCAACAGCAGCTTTATAGGCAACCAGAGTAAGAATTTGGCTTCCATCTGTCCTTAACTTTTCCCTCTCAATTGGCCAAATCTCATCTGGGGAAAGGAGGTTTCATGACCAGAACGCCCTTGAGCTCAACAGGACTGAGGCTGGGCTGGTGCGCTCCACAACAGACTGTCTGCACACAGAAAGCTGTGATACATAACAGTTTTCCTTCCCTTTTCTTTTACTAGAGAAGATATATCTAGAACTCTCTCTGAGAATGCAATCCACAAATGTACTGGTTCCAAGAGGCTCACATAGAAAAAACATTTCTACGGGTAAGTCTATGAGACAACCCTGCAGGGCATGTATTCTCTTCCAGCTGACTGCCAACACATTTTAGCATCTGTGGATTTCTGGAGTAAAGAAACTTTCAGAATTGTGTCTCTGTGTATTGACTGTGGGGACATAGTATTGAATCCCTTTGCAGAGGTCTATGAAAGCACTGATAGGTCATTCCTGAAGGGAAAGCTAATTATGTAATACATGTATGCATACATACATATATGTAAGATATGTTCACATACACAAACACATTTATCTACTTTAAATTGAATTCTTAAGAAGGTTTTCAATATAACCAAATGCACATGTGCATTTATATTCATTTTACACAAGGCTCACCTGCTATATTTCCCCAGGAATGATTTTATCTGTGACTTCCTGTTGATTCATTTAACTGTACTTGGGACAAACAAGCAGTACAGGATGCATTCTACTCCATAGCTCCGATTTCACAACAGCTGATCTTCTACAGAGGAGAAAATCTTGCCCAGGCTTCTTCAAGACATAGGAGAAAGCCCTCCTACTTAAAAATATCTCTCCTACAAATTCTACCAATTAGAAATTCATTAAGGTTAATGAGCTCCCCTTTTAAAATGCAAATGCCCTCTGGGAGTGTTTGCCTATTAGTCATTCAGCTAGGGAAGTAGCAAAGGACAGTGGAATGGCCATGCCATTAATTCCTTTTTATTCTTCAGTGGTACTCATTATCCAAGGCAGTCTGGCACTAAAGAAAAAGATAGGCTTTGAAAGCTGACAGAACTCTACCCAAAATGCTCTACCAAATCTATGACCATGTTGTTACTTCTCAGCCCTCAATTTTCTCATCTGAAAAATGGGGATGATACGTAAGAACACCATTCAAAAGACTAAAGGAGAGGCTGGCATTGGCATGTTAGTCAAGTGGCTTAAACCCCTGCTGGAGAAGCTGGTATACCAAACTGGAGTGTCATTCTGACTTCCAACTGCCCTGCTTCTGATCCAGCTTCCTGGTAGTGTGCCTGGTAGGACAGATACAACGGTTCGCCTGCCAAAGCACCAGCCCCCATGTGGGAAACCAGGCCTGCTGCCTCTGGCTCTTGGCCAATCGGGTCACCTGGGGCGGGGGGAACAAATGAATGACTTCTTCCTTGTCTTTCTGTTGCTCTGCATCTCAAAACAATTAATCAATCATTTTTTAAAAAAAATGAGAAAATACGTTGATTACTAATAGCAGAGAAGTAATGAGGGAAATTCCTTCAGGACAAAGTTTTGTCTGGAGTCTTGGTGCCCCGTTGTGTTCTGCCTTTGTCACACAGCTACAGCTCTTACTACACTTTCCGCACAGGAGAATCCACGTGCCAAAACCACCAAACGCACAGACTGGAATATTAAGGCCTCCGGAAGGTGATCCGTTTAAAACTGTGGATTCATCCTCAGTGAAATTCATGCATGTTCTACTGGCATGTCTCGTCTGCCACTGAAAATGCAACAAGAAGACACATTCTGTGAGCCCGGAGCGGAGCCCTTACCAAGCT